AGTCAACTAACCAAAAGTTCAAATTGCTTGCTAATTTCTTTTCTTCTTATTGTGTATTTCAGGACCTTTCATTGGGGAAGACGATTGGCAGTGCTAAAGAGTGTGAGGGTCTATACTACTTCGAGGAAGCTAATGTGAGTAAGCTAGGTCAAATTAGAAGTTGTAACCCTGCATTTGTCTCTAAGGATAGCGAAATTTTGTTATGGCACTATAGAATGGGTCACCCTAGCTTTCCCTACTTGAAACATGTACTTCCTTTACAATTCTTGAATAAAACATCAATTGATATTCAATGTGAGAGTTGTGAATTCGCAAAACATCATTGAACTTCCTTTCCAAATTCCACATATAAACCATCTACACCATTTGCTTTAATTCACAGTGATTTATGGGGACCATCCCGCATACCTAATCGAACCCAAACAAGATGGTTCGTCACATTCAGTGATGACCATACTTAGGTATGCTGGGTATATCAACTAAAAGAAAAATCTGACGTATGCTTAGTATTTATAAATTTTGACTCTATGATTCGAACTCAATTTCAAGCACCTTCAAATTCTGCGCATTGACAATGGCACAGAATATTTCAATACCACCTTGCAAGACTACCTAAAAACACATGGGATAATTCACCAAAGTTCATGTGTCAACACCCCTCAACAAAATGGTATTGCTGAACGAAAAAACAGACACCTACTCGAGGTTGCTCGAGCCTTATTATTTATTACAAATATGTCAAAAACATTTTGGGGAGATGCAATTTTAACGTCTACATACCTTATCAATCGGATGCCTAGTCGTACCCTTTCATTTGCCTCACCTTTACATAAATTCCAACAGTACTTTCCCAATTCTCGCCTCAATTCAAACCTCCCACTAAAAGTTTTTGGAAGCACTCCCTTTGTGCATTCTCATCACCGAAATAAACTTGAACCACGAGCAATAAAGTGTGTTTTCATTGGGTACTCACCCACTCAAAAGGGCTATAAATGTTATGACCCATCCACAAAACGGGACTATGTTAGTCTTGATGTCACCTTCTTCGAAAAAATACCATATTTCTAGAAACCATCTCTTCAGGGGGAGAACTTGAGTGAAGATCGGTTGGATCGTGAATTCTTAGAATTTAACCTCTCCACAACTAACCCAAAAGCCACCCTACCTTCTAATCTGCCATATATAGAAGGAAACTTGAATCCGGGGGGAGATGTCGAAACACAAAATGATAAAGAGATACTAGTTTACTCACGGAAGCCTAAATCAAAGTATAAAGAAACTCTCACACCTGAAGCACCAAAAGAGTCAGAACCGACGATAGGACCTGAAAAGAACTCCTCTGTCGAACTCATATCTCCAGAAAATGATTTGCCTATTGCTCTCAGGAAACAATCTCGGTCATGTACCCTCCATCCTATTTCAAAGTTCATATCTTATAATGCTCTATCTACTAAATTTCGAGCCTCTACAGCCAAATTTTGATAAAACAGAAGTTCCAAGAAATATTCAGGAAGCTTTGGAGTCACCCAAATAGAGAGAGGTAGTAATGGAAGAAATAAGAGCCTTGAAGAAAAATGAGACTTGGGAGGTAGTAAATCTACCAAAAGGAAAGAAATTAGTAGATTGCAAATGGGTGTTCAATGTAAAGTACAAGGCAGATGGGACAGTAGAGCGGTATAAAGCTCGTCTAGTCACCAAAAAGTATACACAAACCTATGGCATTGACTACACAGAAACATTCGCCCCAGTTGCAAAGCTAAATACAGTTCGGGTTTTTCTATCCCTAGTAGTGAATCTAGACTGACCTCTTCAACAACTTGACGTCAAGAATGCATTCTTAAATGGAGAGTTAGAAGAAGAGGTTTACATGACAATACCACTAGGATTCAACAAAAGTGACAAGGAAAATCAGGTTTGTAAACTCAGGAAGTCTCTATATGGCCTCAAACAATCACCAAGGACATGGTTCGATAGATTTGCAAAAGTGCTAAAGAGTCAGGGATATCAGCAAGGACAATCCGATCACACCATGTTTTTTCCTCAGTCTAGAGATGGTACTAAGACAATATTGATTGTATATGTTGATGATATAATCCTAACTGGAGACAACGTTGCTGAGATGGAAAGATTAAAGAAGTGTTTAGCCGCAGAATTTGAAATAAAAGATCTTGGACAAATGAGGTATTTTTTGGGTATGGAGATTGCAAGATCAAATAAGGGTATCGGTGTGTCTCAACCGAAATACATACTTGACCTGCTAAGAGAAACTGGCATGTTAGGATCTAAACCAAGTAACACTGCTATTGAATCTGGAAAGATGAAGGACACAGGGAGCCCAGTGGAAATAGATAGATATCAAAGATTAGTTGGTAAGTTAATCTATCTTTCACACACTAGACCTGATATTGCATTTGCAGTCAGTGTGGTTAGTCAACGCATGTACTCTCCCAAAGAAGCTTATCTGGAAGCAGTATACAAAATTCTCAGATATTGCCTCTTCTGGGAAAGGATTATTTTTCGGGAAAAATAAAAGGATGGGAATAGAAGTATTTACTGATGCAGACTGAGCTGGATCAATTGAAAATAGAAGGTCTACTTCTGGCTACTGTACATTTGTATGGGGAAACTTAGTGACTTGGAGAAGCAAGAAACAGAACGTGGTGGCTAGAAGCAGTGCCGAAGCTGAATTCAGAGCTGTGGCTCAAGGAATTTGTGAAGGGCTATGGATAAAGAAACTCTTGGAAGAACTGAAAGTGAATGTTGAACTTCCAGTCAGACTCTATTGCGACAACAAAGAAGCCATCAGTATTTCCCTTAATCCAGTACAACATGACAGAATCAAACATATAGAAGTGGACAGGCATTTTATCAAAGAAAAAGTAGAAGATATGATTATTTGTACGACACATGTCCCTACAACTGAGCAAACCGCGGATATCTTCACAAAAGGATTGTCACGACAAAGCTTCAACGAACTCCACAGCAAGTTGAACATGATCAACATCTACAGTTCAACTTGAGGGGGAGTGTAGAAAGTCATATAATATGGAAATTGTAATTTATTTAGATTGTTATTTTTGGTTAATTGGTAGGTTGATTTATTTCCTTACTTAGGTGATTATAGTTTCCTTTTCCAATTTGTATTGTATAGTATAAATAGGAGGTATAGGGTTGTGTTTTGTAGAATGGTGGAATAAAATTTCAATATTCCAATTCCGTTTTCAGTTGTATATGAAGATAATAGATTGTAAGAGCCCGTCATGTGATCTGAAGCTCCTGAGCAATTATCCAAAGGATTTTAAGTTTGGAGGTAGCATTTAAGGCCCTTAGAAAATTACCTCTATAAGCTAGTGAGCTCGAAGGACCACTTGGGAAGTTTGATCGGATGTTTGAAGACTCGAGAAAATTTTGTAGAGTTGCTCTACCTGTTTTGGATTGAAAGTACCGCTTGAGGTGGAATTTGTAGTTTGACGGTCAATCGAAGCTTGGTCTTGATTTCTATTATTCTGTCTTGATTTCCAATTGGTCAACTTTCCATGCAAATCTCAGCAAGTATCTTTCTTGTGCCTGGTTGATGGTTATGTTCTCATCAAGGTCGCCCCTTTTGTTGTCTTGTGTCTGGTCTATTTTCCATGCAAATCTCAACAAGTATCTTTTGTTATCTTGTGCCTGGTCTATTTATTGCATTTTTCAAATATGAGCCTATACCACTAGGACTAGTATTAAAATTGCTAGGCCCATTATTGAATAAGGCTGCTAGTCCAATTTCTAAATTAAGCTCCAAATTTCCCGACCCATTTCATATTTCTTCTCACCCAGTTTCGGCCAAATGTTAAGAGACCTAGGCCTTTTCATTTTCAACCCAGACGTTCCTTATTTTCCAAAGGCAATTTTTTCACTGTTCAGCATCACACAAGCCTCTGATTTTCTTCTCGGCGAATCTCTAAAAATACTTCCCTCATCGATGGTAACCGTCACCACCCCTAGGATCCTCCCTCTTACATCATCTAATTCATGATAGAGTCTGGCCAGAAATTCAAACACCCTTTCACTCTTTGATTTCTTCCAATAAAGTGCGCATAGGGAGTTTTCTGATTTCTAACATTGTAAACGGGTAACATCAATCAAGGCAGGTTTCTGCATGTCATGTACCTCAATTTACCTTTTCCCGATCACAAGTTTGATCGATTGAGCCCATTCCTTGAATTTTTTTTTGTTTAACTTCTTTACGGTAAGTTGGAAGGATGAATTGTCAGTTCCCCCCTCCCAAACCCATTCTGGGAATGGCTTCAGTTTCACCGTCTCGAGATTCAGAAGTCATTTAGTCCTTATTGATGTCGACGATGTCAGTCATTAGACTTTTACATGGCCTGCTCTGATACCATGTGAATTCTAGGGAAATTCTCCTTTCTTCAATGAATAATTACACCCTTATTACATCCTTTATTAGTGTACAAAAGAGGTTAAAAAGAAAAAACAATATTCCTAAATCAATGCAATAATCTCCCAAAAAATCTTTCCTAATTACAATTATTATAACTTTCCTAAATTGATAATGCTAATTTGGGAAGGCGGCATATTGCCACATAACCAGGATTTCAACACTTCAGCACTCACAAATAACCTTTTTTTGGGTAATTTATGCTTGTGTTCAGTTAAAATGGGCAAGAAAGGAAAAATTCCAGGAAAGGATATTTTCAACCGAAGAAAATATTGTCTGAGCTTGGACTCTACAGAATATTGGAGTTTTTATTAGGACTCAATTTACATATTTACTGAATTCGTAACTAAGTCCATACATTTAGGGATCAAACCCATGCAAAAGGTAACACAGGTAAGGGGTAAAAAAGAATAACTTCAGAAAATCTCAACTCTTTTTCTTTTTTCTTTTTGAAGAAAATTAAGCTTTACTATTTGGAGTTTCCATTCCAATTCTTTTTAAAACCTCATTCAATAGATTGAACTACTATCCAGACAAAACAGAGCAGACAGCATCTTACCAATTGAGTTTTCGTTTTTCGCTTTCTGTCCAGCAGCCAATATCACTTCAGTCGGAAGGGGACAAAAGGATGACCAGTATTCGTATTTTGCACCAGCTATCTCTGCATGAACACCTGCAATGTATTGCAAATTGAAATTCTTAAAAACTCCATGTGAAAGTCAAGGTGTCCCATCCTTTATTGTTTGCTACAACAGCCACCCCAGGCCACAGCCTAAGGAAATGAAAAGAGAGAAAAACAGAAGTACATTGGAGGAAAAACGATAAAGAGCAAATTACAAGGAAGCTTGGTACTCTAATAGCAAATTTTATAGCGTCAAAGAGCTAGATTCCACAATTTTTTTAGTCAAGATACCAAAAGATGGTTCTGTATGATATTTAAGAAGCATTAGACCCTCTCAAGAAGGCTTTATCTCCAAGTTAGGGATATTCCAGACAACAAACTCTCTTCCCATGTCATTTAATAAAACACAACAGTCAATACTTGTTCTAATAATTTCAGCCACTTGAATGACACATTACTCTATGATCAAGTGATGAAGTTAAACTATAGTTTTTTACACTTCGAGATAAGAGACATTGCATAAATTTGTAAAATGCTATTGAATATGAGAGTAATAGTAATAGAACCTTCAACTTAGATGAGGAAAGATAAGACAGCTTATCTTTATAAGACACAATAATTCTACAGAATATATGAAGTTCATGAATCATCGAGGAAGAAAGGACTATTTACTGTTGTATATTTGAAAGATAAAAAATGATAACATAAAACCCTTCAAGTAAAAGGGCAGTTGCTGCTCCTGTTCCACGTGGCTGAAATAGTTAGGGGGATGACTTTGGTAGTAGAGATTGGATGTTTATACTGACCAGCCATTACTAGAGTTTTCCCTTCCCCATCTTCCTCATTCTATAAAATAGCTTAGCACGTGCTTGATAGTGATATTCTCTTAAGTATATTTAGAAGCCCTTGGAACTTTATTTTATAAGCAAATCAATTAGTGAATTTAAAAGACTTAAAACCAGCAACAAATTTCAAATTTTGTTTATCTATTCAGCTCTTCCCTCTTGATAACTTCTGCAGAATCTACATTTCCCTGTCCTCATTTTGACCAATATTCATCTCTCTCTCATGTTAATATCATCTTGTGCTCCATCATTATAATTTTCATTCACTTAACTCATTACGCACGTTAAGGAGAACACAAAAATGACTAAATGGACATCAATGCTAATAATATGTGCTCTAAATTTAGCTGGTTAAGTAAAATTACCATAGTGAACACACAAATTCCAGTATCGAGCAAGCCAACACCTCTTGAGAACAACCTCTTCCTACAGTTATAAACTGTGAATCACATAAGTATGTCATATAGAATGCAAGGTGTAGTAGCCATGTGATATTTTAATTGGTACATACCATCTCTTCTTTAGTCAAGATTACTCTTTTAGTGACTGTGCGTAGTGATTTAACTTCACACTCAACATCATGAAGCAGCTCCAAAGCTGATGTAGCTTCATCCCTGGCAGTCTGATTAAAGTTACAATAATTAAATTACAGTGCACCAATATTTTGTAATTTATTATGAATCTCAAAACTAACGGAAAGAATTTAACAATAAATAGTGACATGGAAGGTAAAGACCAAAGAAAAAATTACGACAACTACAAAAACACGTAAGGTAGGGTTTCTGAGTACCTCGGCTTCCATTCGAAGGGCTGCAAGCTCCTCGCCTGCTCCACCATAGGTTTCTGTTGCAACTTTAAGAGCAGCCTGCCATGTCAAAGGCATCCCAGTTACAGACTTAGACTGCATTCCTTTAGATTAGCAAAGTAGTGTATTGCCTAATAGAACAAAAACACACAAACTGACTTGTTAAACATAACATGCTCAGATTAAAGAATAAATAAGATGACCGAAGTTTACAAAACTGTCAAGCTTTCTAACTTCAGATTGCCTTATGACAATTTTAACCTTCCTCAAAGTAATGTTCAATCTATATGCATACAGGACCTGAATCACTGGAAAATAATAGCATTCCATCTCATACATACCTCCCTTTTCTGAAGGTCTGCTTCTTTCCTGCAGAGTTTATAATATAGAAATTAAAGATAAATGGGATTAAATTAGCTAGAGAATCTACTGTATCTAGAAAAAGCATTTCAAAGTTCATCCCTTGCCTGCTCAAAAGACGAGCTTCTAAAGATACACCGTCTCCTAGACTTGCGATCTTACAATAAGACCAAGCAACATTTGTTAAATCATAGTCAAAGAAATGTAGCCAATAAGAATGTGGCTAAATGGAAAGGAAAAAGTACAGTTACCACGTAGTTTTAAGAGACTAATTTCTTTTGTTATAAAAAATTAGAAACCTTAATGTCTCTCGTCAATTAAAATCTGGGAAGTGTACGCTCAGAAGAAAAACAGAAATACTGCAACTACCACATCAAGAATTTAGCATTCTCACTTGTTTCTCGAGTTGCCTAGTCCGTGCTTCTGCCTCCTCACACCTTTCTTCTGCAATTCGAAGCTGAAAAGTATGTGTGTATTGAGATGCTAACCAGTGTAGCAATTTGACTACCAAAACATATCTTTTTGATGAAACAAAAGTTGCAATACAGAATAAACACATAATTCATTCGTAAGTAAGCATCTAGATGGAATCACCTTTTCCAGTAAACTTTCATTTTCTTCTTGAAGCATATCAAGCTGTAATTTTGGGGACCTCGTGTCAGTAATATAATTATAAAATGAGGTGAAAAGATTTCTTGCTAGTGTTGCTGAAATGGAAAACATATATGATATACAACAATCTCTCTGACTATAACTTATGAAGCAAAATTTTACGTGTGTGCATAATTATGTACAAATTTTTGCAAAATAGTTTTATAAAAAATGTATTGATATAAAGTATAAAAGAATAGGCAAGTAAGTACTCCAAAAATTAGTTTTATATTAGAAAAGAAGAACTGCAAATGAAGTTGAGTAGGAGAAAATTAGTTTGATGCACAATCCTACCTCATCTTGTAGAGCAGAAGAAGATAGCTGCTGGTCACCAGTTTCTCTATATTTAAAAGTCCCAAAATCTAAAGATAACCTGCAAAGTGACAGATTTAGTATAAGTTTTTCATGTTTTCAATTGTCAATCAACCGAGAGAAAAACAAAGGTATTTTACCATGTGCTCTTGCCGAAGGTCAAATAGAAAAGGATTTTGACATTATAAGATGGACGCATAGAAAGACAATCCATATCAAACTTTTTCAAGGTTTAGGCATAAGAGAATCATAAAGTAGATTGCAAATTGAGAAGTAAAACTGATCCCTGAGACAGTACTACAGAGTCTAATGCTTCAATGTACCTTTTGTCTCTAATTTTATCAGGTTGAGTCTCTGTTGGAATTCCAGATACTGCTGGCTTGACTGAAAGAGGTACACTTGGAGGTACCATGAAAATAGTCTTGCCCCCTGAATTTGGACGGATGCTGGCCACAGAACGAGCAGATGGAGGTTGTTCCGCAAGGTTGACACTAGAAGATGATCTTCCGATATAAGAGCGAGCAGATGGTGGCTGTGCTTCTTCAACTGAGTCTGTGGGTTCAGATGAATGACCAGCCACAGAAGAGTAGGCAGATGAAAGTTGTTCTGCAGACTTGTTTTGAGATGATTGAAGAAGTGAGAGTGAACGAGCTGATGACGGTTGCTGTTCCACAGAGTTGATAGTTGCAAATGTTCTTGCACCTGATATTGAACGAGCAGCTGATGGCTGTTCAACTGAGGTACAAACTGATAAAGGCTGCTGTTCCATAGAGTTGATAGTTGCAGATGTTCTTGCACCTGATGTTGAATGAGCAGATGTTGGTTGTTCAACTAAGGTACGAACTGATGAAGGCTGCTGTTCCAGAGAGTTGACAGTTGCGTATGTTCTTGCACCTGGTGTTGAACGAGAAGATGGTGTTTTTTCTACAGAGGTACGGACTGACTAAAAAATGACAGAATAGCTTCAACATCAGTACTGAAAGGGAACAATAACACTTAAGTGACGGAAACTAATCCTATAAAATACAGAGAGAACTTAACATGTAAACAATCATGGTAAATTTTACTTATTCCCAGGAATTCAACACTATTCAAATATCAATGCCGTCAAATATGATTTTTTTTTCTACTTCATTGATGAAGTCTGGATGATTATTACTACAACCATGCTCTAACATATCGCCTAAACAACCAATTATTATACTCAATGTGGAAAATATTTAGAGTGATCTAGGTTACATTTGCATAAATGGCATTGGATATGAATGTAGAAATAATATCTTTAAATGTCGATATTCACTTGACATCAGGATTTCTCCTAAAAATGCAACAGCAGGTGAAATGCAGATAAAGTGTAGAACGGATGTGATATCAGGCTGTGTATGAAGACATGCATGTCAAGCTTCTTACCATTGGCGAACGGTGTCTAGTTGGCCGTCCACCTGCAAGTCCTATTCCAGCTGACGGAATTGGAGGGCTATAGTCATACATAAGGTCATCCTCCTCTTCATCATCATCAGCTGGCTGATGTGCCATAACCTGAGCAAGCCTCTGAGCAGCAGCTTTCGTATTCTGTGGTCTCTTCATATTTGTAATGCCAGATGAACCTGTGCGTGAATGGCGATGCATTGGGGATGCCATTGATGGAGAACCACTATTCGTCGTGTTGGAGAAACTCTTCTACCTCACATGCATTGGTCTCACCCTATCCGTTACTGCAAATATCATATTATGGAGTATGATTAGTAACATTTAAGTACAGTTAGTTTAGTCAAAAACAATCTTTTCAGTAGTTCATTTTTATTGGTGTGTTTTGAAGTAAAAAACTATACAAGTAAACACTGTAGAGTAATATGTTTTCAACTAGATTAAATGGATAATGAAGAATTACCTTCGCTTGTTTTACATCGGGTATATGCTTGGTGTGCTCTTTTTGTGGGATGGGGAGAGGTGTGTCTTAAAGCACAGATATGTGAATATATTCCATAGAACTTGGGCTTTATTTAAAAAAACTTTCTACAATCATGCAGATGCTGCATTACAGATGCCATGGCCATATTAATGGGATCCATTTGAAATACCTGAATACAAAAAACCAATGGGACCTAATCTTGTTTCTACATTTTAAGCTTCTAATATTTTCACTGGTTCTAATCAAGCAAAAGTCAAATACAGAGTCGTAGGTATTACTCAGGTTTACGTACAGCCATATTTATATTATCATGATAGACAAACCTGAAAATGTTATTTTTCGAAAAATATTAAGTGGGGAAAGCAATAATGATTGGAGATTATCGTATTTATATAAGTCAATAAAAGATATGACCGTAAAATTCTATCCAGTCATGAAAAGAGGAATCGAGTCCTAATGGTTTTCTCCATCATGAAAGATATTTCAATGCCTGCACCATAATCTACAAGAAGGCATAAGACTATATTAAAAGAATATTACGAATTATGAAGAGAGTTTGTGATAGTATGCAACTGTTAGATAAGTACAGAATTCCCTCTCATTCACAATACAACAATAATCAATGGACGATCCTGTCAATGGGATTTCAAAATATCAAGAGGATATCTATCTCTCACACACTAGACCTGATATTGCATTTGCAGTCAGTGTGGTTAGTCAACGCATGTACTCTCCCAAAGAAGCTTATCTGGAAGCAGTATACAAAATTCTCAGATATTGCCTCTTCTGGGAAAGGATTATTTTTCGGGAAAAATAAAAGGATGGGAATAGAAGTATTTACTGATGCAGACTGAGCTGGATCAATTGAAAATAGAAGGTCTACTTCTGGCTACTGTACATTTGTATGGGGAAACTTAGTGACTTGGAGAAGCAAGAAACAGAACGTGGTGGCTAGAAGCAGTGCCGAAGCTGAATTCAGAGCTGTGGCTCAAGGAATTTGTGAAGGGCTATGGATAAAGAAACTCTTGGAAGAACTGAAAGTGAATGTTGAACTTCCAGTCAGACTCTATTGCGACAACAAAGAAGCCATCAGTATTTCCCTTAATCCAGTACAACATGACAGAATCAAACATATAGAAGTGGACAGGCATTTTATCAAAGAAAAAGTAGAAGATATGATTATTTGTACGACACATGTCCCTACAACTGAGCAAACCGCGGATATCTTCACAAAAGGATTGTCACGACAAAGCTTCAACGAACTCCACAGCAAGTTGAACATGATCAACATCTACAGTTCAACTTGAGGGGGAGTGTAGAAAGTCATATAATATGGAAATTGTAATTTATTTAGATTGTTATTTTTGGTTAATTGGTAGGTTGATTTATTTCCTTACTTAGGTGATTATAGTTTCCTTTTCCAATTTGTATTGTATAGTATAAATAGGAGGTATAGGGTTGTGTTTTGTAGAATGGTGGAATAAAATTTCAATATTCCAATTCCGTTTTCAGTTGTATATGAAGATAATAGATTGTAAGAGCCCGTCATGTGATCTGAAGCTCCTGAGCAATTATCCAAAGGATTTTAAGTTTGGAGGTAGCATTTAAGGCCCTTAGAAAATTACCTCTATAAGCTAGTGAGCTCGAAGGACCAACTTGGGAAGTTTGATTGAATGTTTGAAGACTCGAGAAAATTTTGTAGAGTTGCTCTACCTGTTTTGGATTGAAAGTACCGCTTGAGGTGGAATTTGTAGTTTGACGGTCAATCGAAGCTTGGTCTTGATTTCTATTATTCTGTCTTGATTTCCAATTGGTTGACTTTCCATGCAAATCTCAGCAAGTATCTTTCTTGTGCCTGGTTGATGGTTATGTTCTCATCAAGGTCGCCCCTTTTGTTGTCTTGTGTCTGGTCTATTTTCCATGCAAATCTCAGCAAGTATCTTTTGTTATCTTGTGCTTGGTCTATTTATTGCATTTTTCAAATATGAGCCTATACCACTAGGACTAGTATTAAAATTGCTAGGCCCATTATTGAATAAGGCTGCTAGTCCAATTTCTAAATTAAGCGCCAAATTTCCCGACCCATTTCATATTTCTTCTCACCCGGTTCCGGCCAAATGTTAAGAGACGTAGGCCTTTTCATTTCAACCCAGACGTTCCTTATTTTCCAAAGGCAATTTTTTCACTGTTCAGCATCACACAAGCCTCTGATTTTCTTCTCGGCGAATCTCTAAAAATACTTCCCTCATCGATGGTAACCGTCACCACCCCTAGGATCCTCCCTCTTACATCATCTAATTCATGATAGAGTCTGGCCAGAAATTCAGACACCCTTTCACTCTTTGATTTCTTCCAATAAAGTGCGCATAGGGAGTTTTCTGATTTCTAACATTGTAAACGGGTAACATCAATCAAGGCAGGTTTCTGCATGTCATGTACCTCAATTTACCTTTTCCCGATCACAAGTTTGATCGATTGAGCCCATTCCTTGAATTTTTTTTTGTTTAACTTCTTTACGGTAAGTTGGAAGGATGAATTGTCAGTTCCCCCCTCCCAAACCCATTCTGGGAATGGCTTCAGTTTCACCGTCTCGAGATTCAGAAGTCATTTAGTCCTTATTGATGTCGACGATGTCAGTCATTAGACTTTTACATGGCCTGCTCTGATACCATGTGAATTCTAGGGAAATTCTCCTTTCTTCAATGAATAATTACACCCTTATTACATCCTTTATTAGTGTACAAAAGAGGTTAAAAAGAAAAAACAATATTCCTAAATCAATGCAATAATCTCCCAAAAAATCTTTCCTAATTACAATTATTATAACTTTCCTAAATTGATAATGCTAATTTGGGAAGGCGGCATATTGCCACATAACCAGGATTTCAACACTTCAGCACTCACAAATAACCTTTTTTTGGGTAATTTATGCTTGTGTTCAGTTAAAATGGGCAAGAAAGGAAAAATTCCAGGAAAGGATATTTTCAACCGAAGAAAATATTGTCTGAGCTTGGACTCTACAGAATATTGGAGTTTTTATTAGGACTCAATTTACATATTTACTGAATTCGTAACTAAGTCCATACATTTAGGGATCAAACCCATGCAAAAGGTAACACAGGTAAGGGGTAAAAAAGAATAACTTCAGAAAATCTCAACTCTTTTTCTTTTTTCTTTTTGAAGAAAATTAAGCTTTACTATTTGGAGTTTCCATTCCAATTCTTTTTAAAACCTCATTCAATAGATTGAACTACTATCCAGACAAAACAGAGCAGACAGCATCTTACCAATTGAGTTTTCGTTTTTCGCTTTCTGTCCAGCAGCCAATATCACTTCAGTCGGAAGGGGACAAAAGGATGACCAGTATTCGTATTTTGCACCAGCTATCTCTGCATGAACACCTGCAATGTATTGCAAATTGAAATTCTTAAAAACTCCATGTGAAAGTCAAGGTGTCCCATCCTTTATTGTTTGCTACAACAGCCACCCCAGGCCACAGCCTAAGGAAATGAAAAGAGAGAAAAACAGAAGTACATTGGAGGAAAAACGATAAAGAGCAAATTACAAGGAAGCTTGGTACTCTAATAGCAAATTTTATAGCGTCAAAGAGCTAGATTCCACAATTTTTTTAGTCAAGATACCAAAAGATGGTTCTGTATGATATTTAAGAAGCATTAGACCCTCTCAAGAAGGCTTTATCTCCAAGTTAGGGATATTCCAGACAACAAACTCTCTTCCCATGTCATTTAATAAAACACAACAGTCAATACTTGTTCTAATAATTTCAGCCACTTGAATGACACATTACTCTATGATCAAGTGATGAAGTTAAACTATAGTTTTTTACACTTCGAGATAAGAGACATTGCATAAATTTGTAAAATGCTATTGAATATGAGAGTAATAGTAATAGAACCTTCAACTTAGATGAGGAAAGATAAGACAGCTTATCTTTATAAGACACAATAATTCTACAGAATATATGAAGTTCATGAATCATCGAGGAAGAAAGGACTATTTACTGTTGTATATTTGAAAGATAAAAAATGATAACATAAAACCCTTCAAGTAAAAGGGCAGTTGCTGCTCCTGTTCCACGTGGCTGAAATAGTTAGGGGGATGACTTTGGTAGTAGAGATTGGATGTTTATACTGACCAGCCATTACTAGAGTTTTCCCTTCCCCATCTTCCTCATTCTATAAAATAGCTTAGCACGTGCTTGATAGTGATATTCTCTTAAGTATATTTAGAAGCCCTTGGAACTTTATTTTATAAGCAAATCAATTAGTGAATTTAAAAGACTTAAAACCAGCAACAAATTTCAAATTTTGTTTATCTATTCAGCTCTTCCCTCTTGATAACTTCTGCAGAATCTACATTTCCCTGTCCTCATTTTGACCAATATTCATCTCTCTCTCATGTTAATATCATCTTGTGCTCCATCATTATAATTTTCATTCACTTAACTCATTACGCACATTAAGGAGAACACAAAAATGACTAAATGGACATCAATGCTAATAATATGTGCTCTAAATTTAGCTGGTTAAGTAAAATTACCATAGTGAACACACAAATTCCAGTATCGAGCAAGCCAACACCTCTTGAGAACAACCTCTTCCTACAGTTATAAACTGTGAATCACATAAGTATGTCATATAGAATGCAAGGTGTAGTAGCCATGTGATATTTTAATTGGTACATACCATCTCTTCTTTAGTCAAGATTACTCTTTTAGTGACTGTGCGTAGTGATTTAACTTCACACTCAACATCATGAAGCAGCTCCAAAGCTGATGTAGCTTCATCCCTGGCAGTCTGATTAAAGTTACAATAATTAAATTACAGTGCACCAATATTTTGTAATTTATTATGAATCTCAAAACTAACGGAAAGAATTTAACAATAAATAGTGACATGGAAGGTAAAGACCAAAGAAAAAATTACGACAACTACAAAAACACGTAAGGTAGGGTTTCTGAGTACCTCGGCTTCCATTCGAAGGGCTGCAAGCTCCTCGCCTGCTCCACCATAGGTTTCTGTTGCAACTTTAAGAGCAGCCTGCCATGTCAAAGGCATCCCAGTTACAGACTTAGACTGCATTCCTTTAGATTAGCAAAGTAGTGTATTGCCTAATAGAACAAAAACACACAAACTGACTTGTTAAACATAACATGCTCAGATTAAAGAATAAATAAGATGACCGAAGTTTACAAAACTGTCAAGCTTTCTAACTTCAGATTGCCTTATGACAATTTTAACCTTCCTCAAAGTAATGTTCAATCTATATGCATACAGGACCTGAATCACTGGAAAATAATAGCATTCCATCTCATACATACCTCCCTTTTCTGAAGGTCTGCTTCTTTCCTGCAGAGTTTATAATATAGAAATTAAAGATAAATGGGATTAAATTAGCTAGAGAATCTACTGTATCTAGAAAAAGCATTTCAAAGTTCATCCCTTGCCTGCTCAAAAGACGAGCTTCTAAAGATACACCGTCTCCTAGACTTGCGATCTTACAATAAGACCAAGCAACATTTGTTAAATCATAGTCAAAGAAATGTAGCCAATAAGAATGTGGCTAAATGGAAAGGAAAAAGTACAGTTACCACGTAGTTTTAAGAGACTAATTTCTTTTGTTATAAAAAATTAGAAACCTTAATGTCTCTCGTCAATTAAAATCTGGGAAGTGTACGCTCAGAAGAAAAACAGAAATACTGCAACTACCACATCAAGAATTTAGCATTCTCACTTGTTTCTCGAGTTGCCTAGTCCGTGCTTCTGCCTCCTCACACCTTTCTTCTGCAATTCGAAGCTGAAAAGTATGTGTGTATTGAGATGCTAACCAGTGTAGCAATTTGACTACCAAAACATATCTTTTTGATGAAACAAAAGTTGCAATACAGAATAAACACATAATTCATTCGTAAGTAAGCATCTAGATGGAATCACCTTTTCCAGTAAACTTTCATTTTCTTCTTGAAGCATATCAAGCTGTAATTTTGGGGACCTCGTGTCAGTAATATAATTATAAAATGAGGTGAAAAGATTTCTTGCTAGTGTTGCTGAAATGGAAAACATATATGATATACAACAATCTCTCTGACTATAACTTATGAAGCAAAATTTTACGTGTGTGCATAATTATGTACAAATTTTTGCAAAATAGTTTTATAAAAAATGTATTGATATAAAGTATAAAAGAATAGGCAAGTAAGTACTCCAAAAATTAGTTTTATATTAGAAAAGAAGAACTGCAAATGAAGTTGAGTAGGAGAAAATTAGTTTGATGCACAATCCTACCTCATCTTGTAGAGCAGAAGAAGATAGCTGCTGGTCACCAGTTTCTCTATATTTAAAAGTCCCAAAATCTAAAGATAACCTGCAAAGTGACAGATTTAGTATAAGTTTTTCATGTTTTCAATTGTCAATCAACCGAGAGAAAAACAAAGGTATTTTACCATGTGCTCTTGCCGAAGGTCAAATAGAAAAGGATTTTGACATTATAAGATGGACGCATAGAAAGACAATCCATATCAAACTTTTTCAAGGTTTAGGCATAAGAGAATCATAAAGTAGATTGCAAATTGAGAAGTAAAACTGATCCCTGAGACAGTACTACAGAGTCTAATGCTTCAATGTACCTTTTGTCTCTAATTTTATCAGGTTGAGTCTCTGTTGGAATTCCAGATACTGCTGGCTTGACTGAAAGAGGTACACTTGGAGGTACCATGAAAATAGTCTTGCCCCCTGAATTTGGACGGATGCTGGCCACAGAACGAGCAGATGGAGGTTGTTCCGCAAGGTTGACACTAGAAGATGATCTTCCGATATAAGAGCGAGCAGATGGTGGCTGTGCTTCTTCAACTGAGTCTGTGGGTTCAGATGAATGACCAGCCACAGAAGAGTAGGCAGATGAAAGTTGTTCTGCAGACTTGTTTTGAGATGATTGAAGAAGTGAGAGTGAACGAGCTGATGACGGTTGCTGTTCCACAGAGTTGATAGTTGCAAATGTTCTTGCACCTGATATTGAACGAGCAGATGATGGCTGTTCAACTGAGGTACAAACTGATAAAGGCTGCTGTTCCATAGAGTTGATAGTTGCAGATGTTCTTGCACCTGATGTTGAATGAGCAGATGTTGGTTGTTCAACTAAGGTACGAACTGATGAAGGCTGCTGTTCCAGAGAGTTGACAGTTGCGTATGTTCTTGCACCTGGTGTTGAACGAGAAGATGGTGTTTTTTCTACAGAGGTACGGACTGACTAAAAAATGACAGAATAGCTTCAACATCAGTACTGAAAGGGAACAATAACACTTAAGTGACGGAAACTAATCCTATAAAATACAGAGAGAACTTAACATGTAAACAATCATGGTAAATTTTACTTATTCCCAGGAATTCAACACTATTCAAATATCAATGCCGTCAAATATGATTTTTTTTTCTACTTCATTGATGAAGTCTGGATGATTATTACTACAACCATGCTCTAACATATCGCCTAAACAACCAATTATTATACTCAATGTGGAAAATATTTAGAGTGATCTAGGTTACATTTGCATAAATGGCATTGGATATGAATGTAGAAATAATATCTTTAAATGTCGATATTCACTTGACATCAGGATTTCTCCTAAAAATGCAACAGCAGGTGAAATGCAGATAAAGTGTAGAACGGATGTGATATCAGGCTGTGTATGAAGACATGCATGTCAAGCTTCTTACCATTGGCATTCAACACTATTCAAATATCAATGCCGTCAAATATGATTTTTTTTTCTACTTCATTGATGAAGTCTGGATGATTATTACTACACCCATGCTCTAACATATCGCCTAAACAACCAGTTATTATACTCAATGTGGAAAATATTTAGAGTGATCTAGGTTACATTTGCATAAATGGCATTGGATATGAATGTAGAAATAATATCTTTAAATGTCAATATTCACTTGACATCAGGATTTCTCCTAAAAATGCAACAGCAGGTGAAATGCAGATAAAGTGTAGAACGGATGTGATATCAGGCTGTGTATGAAGACATGCATGTCAAGCTTCTTACCATTGGAGAACGGTGTCTAGTTGGCCGTCCACCTGCAAGTCCTATTCCAGCTGACGGAATTGGAGGGCTATAGTCATACATAAGGTCATC